CCCATTAGTGGCGTCACGTCGCTTATTCCCTGTCTGATCAAGGTCTGGGAGAGTCGTACTTAGGGTTCAGAAATGTGACGTCATCATTCAAAATATAAAAATTTAAAATACCAGAAAACTCTCACAGTTTGTCTAATCGTTCAAATAACGTCGCTAATGTGCTAAAACTGCCAATTCTCCAGGTCAGCGGCTAGCCATCCGAAATTGCATTTTTGTCCATTCTGGTCGAATGTCACACGTGTTCTTATTGAAGAAACGTAACCCATATCGATTTTAATTGAAAACGACTTCAACATTTGTCATCTTCTTTTATCATTACCACTTCCATAACTTGAATATTCCAAGGATTTTGACTGGAATACGTGATGAAGGGACTCCTGTCTGTAAATTCGGTTACTATGATACTTTTGACCTTCTGATTACCATTAAAAAAAGAAAAACGTCAACTGTGATAAAAAGAGCGTGTATACCGCACAGTTTACAGTTGAAGCAGTAAAGCGAAGGGTGTGTGTCAACTAGTTGCCTCAAGGATGCATCCAGCGTTCCCGCGCTGAATCGCTAGATCTAGCTTTTGTTTGAGAAATTTAAAAGCTAGTTTCTCACCTGTTAAGACTGTTATTCGCCTTGCAAGTCCTTCAAGAAAACTGCAGTAGACCTACCAGCGCCACCCAGTGTTTCCATGGCAACGGGTTCGAAATTTACAGTAGAAGGCAGGTCTGAACAGTGGTTTCTTTTGCGGACTTCGGCCTCGGAAGCTGCATTGGCACCCGGAAGAACTCCCATTGGCAGATTAGAGTTTGCCAAACGACTTATACATGTGAAATCCCATGCCAAGGTCCGTCCTCGCTGCCATGGCATTAGTGTGTGTCCATCTGGTCTGCGTCCATCTTTGCGTAGCAGCCCGATAGGTTCTAGTGTGGAACTGATCCAGAGTGATTTTATAGAATCTTTAATAATCATGTTGCCATTCGGATGTCTGATGAACCTGTACTTGATCTTCGGGCAGACAAGTGCGTGTCTTCCATTTGTTGCTGCGACAGCCACATTTGCACGTGTGTTGTGCGGTTACTGGGGCTCCTATACGCAGACCAGCTGAAATACGGAACTCATCAGACGCATGATCTCCTAGACGCAGACCCAGCGGACGAGAAGGAAGGACGTCCAGCCAAGCGCCTGAACCTACCGCGCGACAGCCGTGATAACGAGCAAGTGAGTTTTCGTCGGTACAATTGCTCAAAATATTTGCGGATTGTTGTTCGTAGATAGGTTTTGTCCAAAATTTTTGAGCGCACTGGGGGGTTAAGTCTTCAAATCTGTGGTTGCTGAGAGACTCCCAGTGGTCGGCGTCTTCGTTAAAAAGACCAGGATTGCTTATCTCAGGAGCAAGGCAGTGCCGTAAATTTTCAGTGGAAACAAAGGAAGCAATAAATGCTGATGAGCTGAGAGTGCTGGTGTTTGAAAGACCAAACCCTCCTTGTTTCGTGGGCAAGCAAATTTGACTTGATCGGAAATGATGCGGTTGAAGATTCTCTCAAGTTCAAGGCGTACAAGTGTGTCAATTTCGTCGAGTATATCTGTGTGTTTAAAGGCAGGACTAGCGCGGAGGACATACATAAGTTTAGGGACAAAGAAACATTTTTTAATGAAAAAGAAAGCGGTTTGACATGGTAAAGAAGCTGTTCGCTGCAGGAGTGTCTTGAGTTTCGCAAGTTTGTCCATTAACTCTGCTCGAATCGACCGAGTGCCTAGACCAGCCCCAAGAAGTGTGCTGTCTTCGGCATCAACGCATTGAATAGTGAGAAATGTCTAACGAAAAGCTCTTTCTATCTCCTTTTTACTGCTCCCAAAAGCTGTCACCTCGAATTTCTCATTCAAAAAAAGACCCAATTTCTCACATAATTGTTTGATACTCAGAAGATCATGGAGAGTGGTGCGCCATTCATCAGCAAAAGCAACGTCATCCAGGTATCCAGTTTTCAGCTTGCTCAAGAGGTTCTGCAAAGCAGGATGTAGGACAAGACAAAAGCCAAACGTAGCCGAGGGATCGCCTTGCTGAAACCCTTCTGTTGATTTGATGGTGAAGGCACCATATATCAAGAAACTGCTGTTTTTGTAGCAGAGTTTCACAAAGCTAAGGATCTCCGGGGCGTGTTCATTGATGGCTTTCAAAATGACATCACGTCTTACACTGTTGAAGGCGTTGGCAAAGTCAATTTTGACAAAGGCTTGATCACGTTCTGCGCATTCAATGAAGTCGCGCGCTACATGGGCCGCCGCCTCACTCCCGTGTTTAACACCAGCTTCTAGCTGAAAAGGCCAAAAATAATCTGAATTTTTCCAGCATGCGCCGTGAAATGCATTTGGAAGTGAGTCTTCGCAAAGTGTCTCCAATCGCGATCGGGCGTATTCCTCCAAATTTCTTGGCCAAAGAGATGAGTGTAGCACTGGAGACGACAGTCTTGATGAACGCAGGGATGTTGCCTGTCAACAATAAATTTGTGTAGTCTGGCAGATGCGAGAGCAGGTTGTTGCCAGCTTTGTTAGCAGATGGTGAAAGTGCGCCTTTCACGTGTTGTGGTCTGAGGCCCGTCGGTCCACCAGCACTACCTGCGTTAAAAGACATGACCACTCTCCTGACTTCAGACTGGCTAACTTGAAGTTGAACACAGTCGTTAGATGGGGGTGTAGCTTGTCTGCGGGCGCAGGAGGGTGTTTCGCGTCGAGCAGTGTTTTGTTCTCAAAAGTCGGTGGCAAGAAAGTATCGTCGCTGGCTGCCAACCTGACAGCTCCCTTGATATCTCCTTCGTCAAGTTTGGCTGCAATCAGTTTGGAGTTGTCGTTGTTCCCAGAGCTTGCTGGTTTCTGTGAGCTGGCTTTTCTGCGAGCTTGCTGGCTTTTTTTAAACATGATTGTTTAGAACCAAAATTTATGTGAATTTTTGTAAGTAACATTTGTAAATTGATGTTTTATCGTCATATAGATTAGTTTATTGTAAAAAACCTGACGATGCACATAGTTGCGAAATAGTTTGAAATTTATTTTTATCAAAATTTTCTTCAATAAATGCTCTGTTTAACTTTTCTAATTCTAGAAAAATTAATGTTACTAGAAGTTTGATGGCGTGTTGTAACCCAATATTTGGAGATCTTCAAGAAAATCTACAGATTATTAATCTTACAATTCCGCTTCATGATTATCTGAGACATAAAGCGATTCTTATTCATATTACGAGACGAAATATAAGGTTTAAGCGACTAACTGAACTATTATCAAAGGCTGGCAATGATGACGACATCGAATTTGACGAGGAATTCAAAATGCCGAGAGAAGTCTTGCTCCGCCCAGAAACCTGCATCATAAGGTACCGCTTCTTGTTATACAAATGCGATCCTATTCCAGTTCCAGATTCAGCTAGTCATATGCTATTGCAGGCCATGTCATGTTTTAAGTTTTTCAGCTTTTCTCTATTTGAGTAAGTCAGGTGTAATCTTTAGCAATGAACAAAAAAGGGTCAATTAATTTGGGCCCTTCCGTCATGCGACGGTACGTGCACAGGTTGGATACGGCCGTACCAACGCTTTATAAATACATCGCCAAACTTTTATGAATAAATCAAGTCGATTTTAATGCATCCAGAGAACTGTCAATTAAAATCTACCCTCCTCGATTATAGCACAGATAGAATTGTCTATGTTGGATGTATTTTTAAGTTTTTTGCACCCCTAAGGCAGAGGATTGCACTCCTCAGGCAGAGGATTGCACTCCTCAGAAGTGCAAAACTTATTTTTGTTCTTATAAAGTTTATTGTGTCCGATTATGATTCGTTACGTTTTTCGCTTAGTTTCTCTGCTAGTTTCTCTGAACAAGGTAAGAGAGCAGGGATATGACTGACGCGAGGGTTGGAACCTTCTTACTTGTTCGTTTTTTTCGTACTTCTTGTGAATTTTTCAAATGAAATTTTGTAAATAAAATAATGAAAATGGAAAGTTTAAAAAATATTCATTGATGGTTATTACGAAACATCCTTAGTCACGTTTTTTAGACTGTTGTGTGTGGCAATTTAAAAAATCAAATTTTTTGTCAAAAGTGTTTCTTGTCCGGCCTCGCAAAGTGACGGAGGACTAACTTCAAACCCGGGAGTCTTTTTTCCGTGCAAAAGTAGATACTAGAAATAATTGACACATACTCGGTCGGTGAAAAGCGTGTATACAAGGTTCGAGCTGTAATATAAAAGTACTTGAAATTTTTTTTGTGGCGAAATTTTTTAATATTTGAAACATAAGTTTTGAAAAAAAACTGTTGTTAGTTGGTATGCTTGATTTGGTTTTCCTTGATTCGATTTTGTTTGCTTGTTAAGAGTAATGAACGTAGTGAAGACTCTTATATAGTAGTAAAGAGTAAAACAATGTTGTGGTAAAAAGCGAGAGCAGGTTGTTGGCAGCTTTGTTAGCAGATGGTGAAAGTGCGCCTTTCACGTGTTGTGGTCTGAGGCCCGTCGGTCCACCAGCACTACCTGCGTTAAAAGACATGACCGCTCTCATGACTTCAGACTGGCTAACTTGAAGTTGAACACAGTCGTTAGATGGGGGTGTAGCTTGTCTGCGGGCGCAGGAGGGTGTTTCGCGTCGAGCAGTGTTTTGTTCTCAAAAGTCGGTGGCAAGAAAGTATCGTCGCTGGCTGCCAACCTGACAGCTCCCTTGATATCTCCTTCGTCAAGTTTGGCAGCAATCAGTTTGGAGTTGTCGTTGTTCCCAGAGCTTGCTGGTTTCTGTGAGCTGGCTTTTCTGCGAGCTTGCTGGCTTTTTCTAAACATGATTGTTTAGAACCAAAATTTATGTGAATTTTTGTAAGTAACATTTGTAAATTGATGTTTTATCGTCATATAGATTAGTTTATTGTAAAAAACCTGACGATGCACATAGTTGCGAAATAGTTTGAAATTTATTTTTATCAAAATTTTCTTCAATAAATGCTCTGTTTAACTTTTCTAATTCTAGAAAAATTAATGTTACTAGAAGTTTGATGGCGTGTTGTAACCCAATATTTGGAGATCTTCAAGAAAATCTACAGATTATTAATCTTACAATTCCGCTTCATGATTATCTGAGACATAAAGCGATTCTTATTCATATTACGAGACGAAATATAAGGTTTAAGCGACTAACTGAACTATTATCAAAGGCTGGCAATGATGACGACATCGAATTTGACGAGGAATTCAAAATGCCGAGAGAAGTCTTGCTCCGCCCAGAAACCTGCATCATAAGGTACCGCTTCTTTTTATACAAATGCGATCCTATTCCAGTTCCAGATTCAGCTAGTCATATGCTATTGCAGGCCATGTCATGTTTTAAGTTTTTCAGCTTTTCTCTATTTGAGTAAGTCAGGTGTAATCTTTAGAAATGAACAAAAAAGGGTCAATTAATTTGGGCCCTTCCGTCATGCGACGGTACGTGCACAGGTTGGATACGGCCGTACCAACGCTTTATAAATACATCGCCAAACTTTTATGAATAAATCAAGTCGATTTTAATGCATCCAGAGAACTGTCAATTAAAATCTACCCTCCTCGATTATAGCACAGATAGAATTTTCTATGTTGGATGTATTTTTAAGTTTTTTGCACCCCTAAGGCAGAGGATTGCACTCCTCAGGCAGAGGATTGCACTCCTCAGAAGTGCAAAACTTATTTTTGTTCTTATAAAGTTTATTGTGTCCGATTATGATTCGTTACGTTTTTCGCTTAGTTTCTCTGCTAGTTTCTCTGAACAAGGTAAGAGAGCAGGGATATGACTGACGCGAGGGTTGGAACCTTCTTACTTGTTCGTTTTTTTCGTACTTCTTGTGAATTTTTCAAATGAAATTTTGTAAATAAAATAATGAAAATGGAAAGTTTAAAAAATATTCATTGATGGTTATTACGAAACATCCTTAGTCACGTTTTTTAGACTGTTGTGTGTGGCAATTTAAAAAATCAAATTTTTTGTCAAATGTGTTTCTTGTCCGGCCTCGCAAAGTGACGGAGGACTAACTTCAAACCCGGGAGTCTTTTTTCCGTGCAAAAGTAGATACTAGAAATAATTGACACATACTCGGTCGGTGAAAAGCGTGTATACAAGGTTCGAGCTGTAATATAAAAGTACTTGAAATTTTTTTTGTGGCGAAATTTTTTAATATTTGAAACATAAGTTTTGAAAAAAAACTGTTGTTAGTTGGTATGCTTGATTTGGTTTTCCTTGATTCGATTTTGTTTGCTTGTTAAGAGTAATGAACGTAGTGAAGACTCTTATATAGTAGTAAAGAGTAAAACAATGTTGTGGTAAAAAGCGAGAGCAGGTTGTTGGCAGCTTTGTTAGCAGATGGTGAAAGTGCGCCTTTCACGTGTTGTGGTCTGAGGCCCGTCGGTCCACCAGCACTACCTGCGTTAAAAGACATGACCGCTCTCATGACTTCAGACTGGCTAACTTGAAGTTGAACACAGTCGTTAGATGGGGGTGTAGCTTGTCTGCGGGCGCAGGAGGGTGTTTCGCGTCGAGCAGTGTTTTGTTCTCAAAAGTCGGTGGCAAGAAAGTATCGTCGCTGGCTGCCAACCTGACAGCTCCCTTGATATCTCCTTCGTCAAGTTTGGCAGCAATCAGTTTGGAGTTGTCGTTGTTCCCAGAGCTTGCTGGTTTCTGTGAGCTGGCTTTTCTGCGAGCTTGCTGGCTTTTTTTAAACATGATTGTTTAGAACCAAAATTTATGTGAATTTTTGTAAGTAACATTTGTAAATTGATGTTTTATCGTCATATAGATTAGTTTATTGTAAAAAACCTGACGATGCACATAGTTGCGAAATAGTTTGAAATTTATTTTTATCAAAATTTTCTTCAATAAATGCTCTGTTTAACTTTTCTAATTCTAGAAAAATTAATGTTACTAGAAGTTTGATGGCGTGTTGTAACCCAATATTTGGAGATCTTCAAGAAAATCTACAGATTATTAATCTTACAATTCCGCTTCATGATTATCTGAGACATAAAGCGATTCTTATTCATATTACGAGACGAAATATAAGGTTTAAGCGACTAACTGAACTATTATCAAAGGCTGGCAATGATGACGACATCGAATTTGACGAGGACTTCAAAATGCCGAGAGAAGTCTTGCTCCGCCCAGAAACCTGCATCATAAGGTACCGCTTCTTGTTATACAAATGCGATCCTATTCCAGTTCCAGATTCAGCTAGTCATATGCTATTGCAGGCCATGTCATGTTTTAAGTTTTTCAGCTTTTCTCTATTTGAGTAAGTCAGGTGTAATCTTTAGCAATGAACAAAAAAGGGTCAATTAATTTGGGCCCTTCCGTCATGCGACGGTACGTGCACAGGTTGGATACGGCCGTACCAACGCTTTATAAATACATCGCCAAACTTTTATGAATAAATCAAGTCGATTTTAATGCATCCAGAGAACTGTCAATTAAAATCTACCCTCCTCGATTATAGCACAGATAGAATTGTCTATGTTGGATGTATTTTTAAGTTTTTTGCACCCCTAAGGCAGAGGATTGCACTCCTCAGGCAGAGGATTGCACTCCTCAGAAGTGCAAAACTTATTTTTGTTCTTATAAAGTTTATTGTGTCCGATTATGATTCGTTACGTTTTTCGCTTAGTTTCTCTGCTAGTTTCTCTGAACAAGGTAAGAGAGCAGGGATATGACTGACGCGAGGGTTGGAACCTTCTTACTTGTTCATTTTTTTCGTACTTCTTGTGAATTTTTCAAATGAAATTTTGTAAATAAAATAATGAAAATGGAAAGTTTAAAAAATATTCATTGATGGTTATTACGAAACATCCTTAGTCACGTTTTTTAGACTGTTGTGTGTGGCAATTTAAAAAATCAAATTTTTTGTCAAAAGTGTTTCTTGTCCGGCCTCGCAAAGTGACGGAGGACTAACTTCAAACCCGGGAGTCTTTTTTCCGTGCAAAAGTAGATACTAGAAATAATTGACACATACTCGGTCGGTGAAAAGCGTGTATACAAGGTTCGAGCTGTAATATAAAAGTACTTGAAATTTTTTTTGTGGCGAAATTTTTTAAAATTTGAAACATAAGTTTTGAAAAGAAACTGTTGTTAGTTGGTATGCTTGATTTGGTTTTCCTTGATTCGATTTTGTTTGCTTGTTAAGAGTAATGAACGTAGTGAAGACTCTTATATAGTAGTAAAGAGTAAAACAATGTTGTGGTAAAAAGCTTTTCGAACAGAAAGTTCATCATCAGTTAAAACATAGCACCTGAAAAATAGTGGTATTTACAAAAAATATAAAAATAGTTAAAAAGATATAACATAAAACGTTAGAAGTACAGCAAGCTGTAACACAAGTTGTTACTCTCAATGGAGTGGTTTACTTAGAACACGTAACTCTTATATAGGCCTTACTGATTTTTTTTCAGGAAAAGTCTTAAATATTGATGCATTTAGGTATAATGCACTCTTTGAGTTCAATTGAATATCATCTGCTGAAAGTGAGTGCTGAAATAGCACTCTCCTAATACGAACGTGGAAATGGCGCAAAAAACATGAACGATTTCTGGTTTCGAAAGTGGGATATATTTTTAAGATTTCCCAGCGGATTAAAAACTTAATGATCCAGTTTTCTATTGAAAGTTGGGTTCATGTTATCAAAAAAGCGCCAGTCATAATTATTCGAGAAATTCAAAGAGCTTAAAGGGCATCTATTTTTTTTTCTTTGAAATTCGAAAGTTGAAAGTCTGTGTTTTTTATAATTACTTGCGTTTATTACTCTTCTCCAATCATCGATTGGCTATGTTTTTTTTTGAAAACTAGCTTTTTTCTTGTCAATCTGTGACCAACTGGTTGTTGTTAAGGGGCTTTATTTAAAGCGCATTCGCTATTGCTTGATGTCTGCGCTTTAACTTGTTCACTGATTTTTGCCTTTTTAATTCAACATTGATCCGACTTGTTTTCCTTCCACAATAAACTTGCTCTCGCAAGTATAAAACATAAACAGTCGAAAAATAGAGAAAACTATGTCTACCAAAAGTTAAGTTTTCGTTTGTCTCGATACAAGTATAGTATAGGCCAACATGATAGACATTTGAATATTCAATTAGCAACAGAACAAAACTAACGAAGAATCAAAAGCGACCATCTTTGAGCAGCTACAAGTTGAGCAGAAGAAAAGACAGTATCAAAGAACTCTTCAAAGTTTAAATTTCTCTTGCACTTGCAGCTACAATCCCATTTGCTTGCAGCAAAAGAAAAATGTGGCGACGAAGCCGACAATCTTTGAGAAGACACCAGTTGAGCCGAGAAAAAAGTAAAAAACCTACAAGTTTCAAGTTCCCCTGAAACTACATTGAACAACACGTGCAGCTGCAACTACAATGAAAAACCTTAAAGTAGAAGCAAAATCCGTGATGTAACTACTAAGCCGACAAAACTTGAAGACAAAGTCCGACAATTCAATTTTTACCGGAAATAATTTTCAACGCAAACGTTACGAAAAAACAAGATCTGACCGGAATTCGAACCCTGCCACAGAGTGCAAAGAAAACGGCGTTAACTTTAGGCCAAATGAAAACGAACCTGGAAGTTGTTCAATAATCAAGCAAGTAAGAAAAGCAAGCAAGATATGTAAGGAAATTGTTTTCGGGAAAGTCTAGTTACCGATTACAAGACACTGCCTTTAGCGAGTGTAATCAAATACAAACTAAAGCCATTCAGCCGAAAAATAGATAGTTTTTTGCGCTTGATATTTGATGTTCCACAAATTTAAAGACTTTTCAAGTGAGTTCACCCAACTGAGCCCATACAGCAGTTGTGATTGGGAACTGAACTTTTTTCCCCTGAACAACTTTACTAACAAATCCTCTGTTCTTTTTTCCCGAGAGGTAATTTGGTCGAGAGTTAACGCCGTCGCCTTTGCTTCCCATGATCTGGAGTTCGAGTTTCGACCGAATATTGTTTTTTTTTCTGTAAAAGTAGACTTGTCAATAATTCTTTTGTCTGCTCAAATTTTGTCGACTCAGTTGCCACATCTGGGATTTTGCTTTTACTAAGCAATTTTTATTGAAGTTGCAGGTCTAAGTGTTGTTCATTCTTGCTTCATGGGGGCCTTGAAACGTTTTCATTGAAATTTTTTTTTTAACAAGTGTTGATCATTGTAGTTTCAGATGGGACTTACAAATTTACAGGTTTAGTTTTATAAAATTTTAGTTTTTTTTTCGGCATAACTGCTGTCTGCTCAGTCGGCTTAGATGTCCCATTACAGATTTTTCTTGTGCTGTAAGCAACTTCAGTTGCAGTTGATAGTGGAAGTGTTACTCCTTGTAGTTTTAGTTGGGACTTAAAACTTGAAAGATTTTTTATCAAATCATTTTTTCTCGGCATATTTTGTCTGCTCAAAGATTTTCAGCTTTTTTCCCTTTCCGTGAGTTTTGTTCCGTTGCTAATTCTTTTTTTCGAATGTCTAGCATGTTTGCCTAGAATCAACTTCTGTCGAGACTTATGGAAGTTTAAATTTGATAGACTTAGTGTTTTCACTATTTGATTCCTCCTACGTGAGTTTGCGCTCAATTATTGTTTCATATGCTTGGTTTCATGGATGGTAGAGAGAGAACAATGATTGTCTTTGTTTTGTTGGCTATTAAAATAAATGCTCTATCCTATCGATGGAATCATTTAAAATAGATAAGAGAAGTTTACCGTCCCTTTTTTCTGTTCTAGCAACTTCAACAGCGATGGGTTGTTTCTTCGTTTAGAAACAGCTAGAAGTGTATTTTCCTACTTCAAGCCGAATGAAACAATGCATACTGCGACGTGGAACCAAGTGACCAAAGCTGAACGGGACTGGATATCATCGCAGTGCCCCGTGTTCTGCTGCGGATCGTGTTTGCAGCCGATCACAATTGACAAGCCTATTAGGAGAGTACTGGAACTGCCTTCTGATAATTGGTATGAGCTGTTTGAATCATCTGCTTGGTGTCACAACCATTCACACTCCAGCACTACATCGTCAATGACGTCATCATCTGTGCCCAAAGTAAGAATGGCGCCCAAATCAGGAGACTGTCTTACAAGTGACTTCGCTTATCTTTTCAAGCTGGACCAAATTGACATAGAGGGTATTAGAATTGGGCCTAGACAAAACAAATACGTGGAGGCTTATAGAAATGTGCAGATGAGTCAAGTCCTGTGCAGTAGGTGTCAGCATTTTATTGGTTTTATTTTCTGGGATATGGATCACTCCACTCTTGAGTCCGAGAGGAACTCGTCAAAAGCTTTGGAACATAAGGAATATGTTAAGCTCTACAAGCATAATTTAGCCTGTCGAGAAGCGATAAATGAAGAAGAGGTAGATTTTTTGGGGGCCAGTTCGCAGGAAAAGAAGAAGCAGCCGAGCATGTCTCCTTTCATAGGAGATTTGCTGAGCGAGGATGCGACCTTTGAGACGTTATTTGCTCAGTATTTCAGACATCAGGCACAAGAGAGCTTTTACCGTTTCTTAGTCGTTTGTGATGATCCAGGAGCTACAGACAGCCACGAAGTTAGTGGGTTAATTCGCCTGTTGAGTGTTAATTCGAAAATTGTGCTCTCAAAGGAAAGCGTATCGCTACCAGCAGGAATCAATGGGTATATGAGAAAAAATTCAGAGATTGAAGATTTCGCGATTGTGCGACTTAGTTATCTCGAGAAACCGGCCGTAAAATCGACTCCTCATTGTAATATACATGACTTTGAACGCGCAACTCAGCGCTGGGAAAAGGTCAGTTTCTGACTTCGTATTTTCTTTCACATCTGAATGGATTTTTTTAACCATTGTGATTAGCAAAGGTATTGCAACCGTGTACAATACTTTTTTCCCATTAGCAACTTTTTTCCCATTAGCAACTTTTCCCATTAGCAACTTCTTTCACTAGTATTTTCATGTGTTGAACATTTTTGCAAATTGATTTTTTTGCCGATAGTTACGACAAGCTGTTCGGCTTGTTTGGTATTGGCTTTAATTCTGTTAGTCTATTTTACCTAATAGGATATTTTCTTCAATTCTGGTTGATTTATTTGAAATTGATTTATATTTTGCAAGATATTTTCAACATCAACCCACAGACCCTCTTTTATAAAGAAAATTACGTACGTAGATATTATTAGTTCGCTTAACTCTAATGTTAACTCAGGTCGAAATTTTTGGATTTTTAGGGACCGACAGTTTTTTATAATATACTTGATAAAAGTATATAATACTTTTATTCAAGTGTTTCTTTGCTTTCTGGCCTACTTTGTTTGGAATGATAACTTTTTTTATTACAAAGATTTGGCAAGCGTGAAAGGCTATCAGATCGGAAAATGGTTATTTCAAAAGTTTTTGATAATTTTGTCCATCAAAGTTTCGAGGAGAATGTATCGTTTTGAAATGACAGCCTTAGTTATCCTCGTCCTTTTCATTTTAAATTTGTCTTATCCTTGCAGTTCTGCATCTTTAAGATGTTCAGAATTTCTGTGTTCCGTTTTATGGATTTATTTTATATTTTTTTGTCACCAATTTTGTATTGAACGTAGTTTTTTTTCAGGAAAAGTCTCATATAACCACTGATGTGCATTCAAACATATTGATGCATTTATGGATGCACTTAGGTATATATGGACTTTTTGAGTTCAATTGAAACTTATCTGCTGAAAGTGACGTAAATAGCACTCTCCAAATATGAAAGCGGAAATGGCGCGAAAAAAAACGTGAATGATTTCTAGTTTTGAAAGTGGAATTTAATCTTAGATTTCCAGCAGAATAAAAACTTTACCTAATGATCCAGTTTTTTCAAGTTGGGTTCATGTTATCAAAAAAGCGCCAATCATAAAGTGTTCTAGAAATTCAAAGAGCTTAAAGGGCATATATATTTTTCTTTAAAGCTCAAAAGTTGAGATTTTTTTGAAGCTCGTAGTCAGTGTTTTTTATGCTTACTTGCGTTCATTACTCTTTTCCAATCTTCGATTGGCCATTTGTTCTAAAATCTAGCTAGTGTTGATTTCGTTTTCAGGTTCATTCTTTTAACTGGTTTTTGTTAAGCTGTTCTTGTCTCTAGTGTCTTTCTTTTTGTTAGACTAAAAGTTATGTTTCTTGAAATGAGAATTGGTTGTTGTTTGACATGAATGCGATTGCAATTAGCAAATGTTATCAATTGGGAATCTAGGTTTTAACGTTATTAACTTATCTAGCATAATCTGTGGAATCAGTTGATAGTGTGGTTTATAATAGTTTACAGTTCAGACGCTCTTTCTGAGCATTAGGCATATAAGTGTCGTCCATGCATGGGACAGCATAGGTCTGGGATTCGAGTCTAATTTGTTGTTGATTTTTTTCCGGCTTGGTTTCAGTAGCAAGAAATTTAATTGGGCTTTGCGCCAAAATTGGAGTTAAGGTTTTCAATATTTCTTGATGGTGCAAGTTCATTTTTCAGACATTTTTTTTGAGTGTTTGTATTTAAGATTTTTAAAAAAATAGATTTTTGATTAATTTTGCGCCCAATCATTGGCAAAGCTATCCAATGAGTCAAGATGTGTGTCCGAATTTCTCATATTTTATAAAATACTCAATTTTGTAAAAATAAGATTTTTTTTTCATTTATCAGATTTTTTTGTGCAACGTTTACATAATCGTTCCCTCTATACTATATCTCGGACAGTTATTGATAGCATATTTTTTCGCGGTTTGATTTTCAATTTCTATTCAAGTTAAAAGAAAGGCACTATTAGACAGTAAAATTGTTAAGCTCATAAAAAACGTGATCGACTTCTAGCTTCGAACTTACTTTTACACTTGCGAAGCAATGTGTATATCAGTACGAACTTTCTTTTTGTTCAACCTGAGTCGAAAATAGAAGTGCTATTTTTGTTGGCACTTTTGAATCGGTAGGATGCGGCAGCAGTATAATATCATATGTGCTTTGACATTTGGTTAGTAAAAACTAACAGCTGATGCGTTTTTACTCATCAAATGAAACGAAAAAAGTTTCAAACAGTACCCGATAAAAATCTCAATTTCAGAAATTTTTAATTTCAATGTATCTCGCAATTTTTTTGAAATGCATAATTTATACATAATTTGGCCTCATTTATTCCACTTCATTACATGCAAAATTGTGTATTTTTGTTTTTGGTGCTACTTTTGCTATTGGCAATTTATTAGCATATGTAGCTGCTTTATATTGGTGGCTAGTTTTTGGTGGGGGATTTTAAGCATCCGTAGCTAAGTGGTTATTGCGTGAGACTCAAATTCGCTAGGTCGCTGATTTGAATCCGACACATAGCCGAGTTTTCGGTAATTCGAGGCTTATTTCTACTTTCTTTTTTTCACTTAATAAAGTTGTTTTTTTTTGGTCGTGTTCTCGCAAGTGTTTGTGAAGCGCAGCTTCACCTCTATGTTCAAATTTCCGAGCGAAGTTTTCTCAGGCATTCTCAAAGTGGGTTAATTTTACCAAAAAAGTGCCAATCAATTTGTCGCAGAAGTTCAAAGAGCGTTAAGAGTATACATGTTTTTTTTCTGTGAAATTCGAAAGTTTATTGACTCGTTTCCAATTTTATGTTGGCTATGTTCATGTGCTTTGATCCCATGTGGTTCCGTAAGCGCAAAACATGTTTTGAAATAATTTGAATTGATAACCAGATTTTTGTGTTGAAGGAAATTATTGGCGTGAGCAGACTACTCCTCTCGCGTGACTTGATATGGAGGCTATTTGCTATTTTGACCTCTAATACGGCCCATTTACCTCAACAAAGCCGAGTAGACAAGAGCGGAGAAGGGGACTCAAAACAAGTATCTAAGATAGGATTCCTCAAGTTGAATCAACTGCCTTAGAAAAACAAAACCAAAATGATAACTATGGGTGTGTGTTCATTATTGCAGAAGTGTTCGAGCAAACTCGGTTTGAGTTGCATTGCGTGTGATGCGCATTTACATCTAAGTGGAACCACACAGAGTAACTATGGACTCAAAATCAGCGCCGATACCTGGCACAGAAAATGTGTCCAAGAAAGAATCCACAGGAATGGAAGCTGCGAGTGGGTTAGCCACGTCCTAGAATTCATTTTTATTTGTCAAACATGATTTATTTCGATATTTTGTAAAGAACTTCAGTGATTTTTGAATAGAAGTTTAAATGTAGAATGTATTCACATATGTTTATTTCTTTTTGAACCGAAATTTATTTTTCAGTTGATTCCTTTCACTTATCATCGATGAGGAAGAGTATTTTATGATAACTCAACTATTTTTACACTAGCAAATTGAAGTGTATTATTTTGAAGATTTTTTTCTAACCTAATTCGCATATAAAAGTGCTCATTTGGTGGCACTTTGGTATATTTCAATTTAATCATATTTAAGCTTATTTCAGCATAAAAAATTTAATGGCATATGTTGCTGCTTTATTTTGGCTAGTGTTAGGTCTTGTTTGAAAAAAAACTTGTATTATGAAAATGTATGGGATAGGTTGTTTTCCGTTTTTTTTTGCGAAGCCTTGGAAAATGTTTGCACTTTTTGCTGAAATTTCAATGTTTCTCAAAATTTTCTTCCGATTTTCAAAAAAATGTTACCAATGGAAAAACCGGCTGCTCTTCTATGTGCGTGCATATTTCGCTAGTCTCTTTTGATTCTGCCTCACGTTCTACGGCCTTCGAAAGTTTCAGTAGGGGGATTTTTGGCCTATTTGTTTCGATTTTTTCATTTTCTCAAATATTAAATGCACAAATGATTCCATCAAAAGAACAAGTTATTGGAATTTTGCTCTCTCAAGTGGCTATTTCTTCAAATTGGCAGGAAAAAGATATGACTTCAAACAAGCCCATTTTTTGACATTTTGGTTAATTTTTAAAATTTTTGACTTCCTTAATAAACTACCCTGTTAAATCAGAGATTCAAGGTTTAACCAAAAGAACAAAATTAGTTATGCGAATCTTACCGGCGCAAGCGGCTATGCCTTGCGTTTCGAAAAAGTATGGCCTTAAACATGTCAAATTCTTTATTTTTCGACCGTTTCTTAAAAAGTTGTTCTTTTTTCAAAAATTAACCTGCTGCTTCTGAGGTTGATATTTCAATAAAATAACAGGGTGCTTAGATTGTCCCTGTGCAATCTTTTTTTATCTTTTTTTTGTTAAAAAGCTTATATAGACAACGGAAAGTTTCCTTTTAAAATTTTATCGTTATTTAAGAATTTTCTAGAAAACTACTAGCTAAGTCTGACTTTAAGAGTTCAATCTAAAATTTCAGGGTGCGGAAATCTTCAATCGAAAATAAAGTTGTGGAAAGCAGAGGCTATTCCCATGCTGAAGAAGAGAAATTTTTAGGGATTAAGGTAAAGACAATTTTTTTTAAATTTTGATCAATTTTTGGTATCTTTTTCACTTTTTTTTCAAAAATTACCGAGCCAAGTTTGAAATGAAGACTTCAATTGAAAAAGCGAGTAGTAAATTCTCCTTTAACTAAGCTGTTCATCCCCTACATAAGCAGGGAAACCCTAGGGTTTAGCATACATTTCATTTTTTGAAGTTTTGAAAATTACGCATTTCCGTATCAGTACAACATATGATTAAAAGTATTAAAACAGGAAGAACCAGCATTAGCTGGGCCACTAAATTATTTCCTACTGGCCGTGTTGCAGATGTGAGAACGTGATACAGCTAATCTCAACATTTTTTTCAAGGTGTAAATTGAATCTTTTCCTTGTTTCACTTTGTTATGCCTGTTTAGAGCTTTTTTGCATCTTCCTCGCTTGTGTTAGCGAAACGCAGCCTCGTCTCTGTGCAAATTTTGCTGCACGAGCAAAATTTGACTGCATATGCAAACTAAATATGGGGGTTCTGGGAGGGGGCGAATGACCCCTTTGAGGAGTTCGACCCCATGCCGACCCAAAGGTGTTTTCAAGAAATTCTATTTTGGCTGACCGACCCTGAAATTTCTCGAACATAGATTTCGGGGCCAATATACACTAAATTGGAGGAGAGCTCGCGCCAAAAAACCTTGTTTTTTAAGTCCACATTTTCAAAAGAAGCCCAAAAACGGCTTTTTTGTTATGTTTTTCAAAATTTGCTTGCGGTGCAGAAACTTTTGTCAAAATACGATCTGTTAGTGTTCTGGGAGCGCTCGGAAACTAAATTTGCACGATCTTAAAAGTAGAGAAAATCCTAGATCCACCCCTAATCTTCACCCACGTTGATCAAAACTTTCCAAACACTGCAAGAAAACTAATTCACAGCACTATCCTGAAATAAAGTGCAAATTTTCATCAGGCGAGTTCAAAAAAATAGTCAATTAAAGCCCAGATCCTCGCCTGCTACACTGTCGAATTATTCAAAGTGAATTAATATTTCAGTTTATCAAAACGTACGCTGAAACTACTTTGTTAATTGATGAGGAGTAAATATCAAAAGAAGCCTATTACACAGCCCAACAAAGTTATAGAAGGATTAAATCTCCAAAAACCTGTATGAGAGAAAATATTTTTGCTTGATAGTCAAGAAATGTGATTTTTACTATATAAAACCCAAAATCTTTGCTTAAAAGCAAATTTGAATCAATTTGCTCAAATTTTGGAGATTTAACCTCCCAGAATTTGGTTGGACTGTTTAATAGGCTTCCTTTGATATATAATCCTCATCAATTAACAAAGTAGTTACAGCTTAATTGTTGATTAATTGAAAAAATCCAAAATGACCCATTTTTGGGGTAAAATTTTGGTTAAGTCTCGGAGAAAAAATTGCACCATATTATTTCTGATAAAATTCGAAGCAACTTTTGTTCTCTTAACTTTTTGTCTAATCTTAACCCAAATTGAGAATAATGCGTTTGAAAATTTAAGTTTTGCTCATTTTGTCCGGATAATTTAAATCAGCACTGTACTTACCCTTGCAAATAGCAAGCGTTATCAAATCGGAACAGAATTTTTCTCAAGTTAGCAACAAATTTAACACGATCAATTCGACAACGGACATGCCTGATGATCAACAGTTATACTTTGACGATATATGCATATTAAGTTCCCGTTCTATTCAAAATGTATGGTCAAGTTGGCGCCCAAAATAACTTCTTCGTCAATTTATTGATTGCATAATCCACCTTTTGGTAAATTTTCATATATCCCACGTCGCACAATTGTATACGCAGTGTTCCGATTCATTCCCAAACAGTCGGCCAAAGCTATATAATCTTCTGCACGCGAATGCGATTCGATTAAACGTCGTTTGTCGAAGCATGAAATTTTTTTATACTTGGCCATTTTGAGCGTGATTCAATTGGAATTTCATGATTTCAAAAGAACTTATGAACACACATTTGAGCATGCATTATTTCTTGACTTTCAATTGAAAACACGGTTTGTTCGAAAGATGTCATTAACATTTCAATAGGCTTTGAAATGGTGTAAACATTCTGCGTATTCTGGTTTTAGATTAACTCGCACAATTTGACCGAATTAATTTTCTCATCGGCGACAACAACCATTTTTTGAGGTTATTGTGATTGAATTGGGATGATTACGCATATTTGGTAGTCGTCTCATACATTTTGGCGCTGATAATTACCCGCTGATTTTGGCTCTGTTTAGAATTACACGATAGTTTCATATGAAAAAAAAAACACATTTACGCCAATTTCAATTTTTAAAATCTTATTATGGGTGATTGGAATCTGCGCTGTATGCCTATTTAAACTCATGGCAGAACTCTGCTATATAGGATTTCAAATTTATCTTTCGAACTTGACAAGATTAAAATTGGCAAGGATTTTATCGGTCCCCATTTGTCCATTTGTTTGCAATTTTGTGCGTTCATGCTTAACAGTTTAGTTTTCACAGAAACAAAAACATTCAGCGCTGAAACCGGTAAAACTTCAGTTCACTGCTTTCGTTGTCTTTTTTTTCCTGCGAATTTTCAATATAAAAGCCAGAGCTCAAAAACTTCACTTTTAGTTGTCAAGGGCGCTCTTGTATTTTTAGTCAGCTTAATCAGCAATTCGATCTTTAAAAGCTAACTAAAAAAGTCAATTGTTGGCAATATGCTCAATCAACGTATGTGGAAGAAGGGACTCAAATTGCTCATTTTGATGTCGTGCAGCAATTTTCGTAGCATGAAACACGTAAAACAGTTTCAGAAATTCTAAAATATCCGCTTTTGACGTTTGCTCGCGTTAACTCATATTGCCAACAAAACAGCATTAACTATAATTAGTAGCAAAAAGTTCGGACAAACAGAACTATTTGAAATGAGCAATCAGTGCGTTTCGAGGCTTTTTTTTCATGCAAAATCTGGAGTTGAACAACCTTGAATTTTTTGTCAGACCAAATTCAAAATGCGAGATCGTCGATTATCCGATGATTATGCTAGCCTACTTTCTATATACTGCTATAAACATCCAGATTTTACTATGAAACATTTCGACGCTTCGGATGCAATTGCCCTCCATGGTTATAGGTTTTGAGCGAAACTCGGATCTACTTAACAATCCCCCCTCCCCCTATTGTAACTACTAAATAATCTCCATCCCTGTAAATAAAAACAGTAAATTCGCACAAGAGCAGTTTATGTTAAGTTGGATTTTGCTGCATTCTGATTGGTCGAAAGTTCGCTGCAAGTAATCTTTTTAACGATCTCCTCCCATTTCTTGAAAGAGGGATTGTTAAGTAGATTCCGTAACTCTGCTTTATGAACTTTCGACGTTATGTTTATTTCAGTTTTAATTTCCGTTGATGTCTAGACAGTTGCTCTTTTTAATTAATTCTGTCTGTCCGAACTTTTTGCAACTCTCTATATATCGCAAGATTCCAGTGCCTGGGACCTGGGGTAACGGAAGCCGAACAACAGGTGGGTGAGTAGGAGAAACGGAGGCCTGGTGCCTAGAAACTATTTTGCAATTATATTAGCCTCCTTACTA